ACTACACACGAATCTAACCCCGAAAACGACCGTCAATATGTGCTTCACAATGGATGCATTTGCCCTATCAATTGTTTGCTGGGATAGAGTAAAAATCAAAACAATAAGACAATAAGCTGGTGCATAAACTTGTAAATATACCGATAGTATCAACTGTATTCTCCATGGATAGAACATTCATAAATTTCAGCTGAGAACAGTTCTTTTTTTATCACACAATTCACAATGTTTGAGTTAACCGATGCACTACGTTAACTGTAAAAACAGCAAAAATTTCATGATGCCTATCTTTTGTCCTTGCAGAATGCAATCATCAACATGCACATGCTATTGAGTCATGATGAACTTTACTAAATTTTATTACACTACAATTATCGCATAGAATAATTATTTTAATTCAAATTGCATGTGAGAGTGGTTGCTCATGTTTTGATGTTGCGCTATCATTTCGAAATTTACATATTCGTCTCACAGTGTGATTAAATGAATATATTGCAAAAAAAAGTTAAAGAAAACCAACTTATTTTAAAACACTTTCTTAAACATATTAATTAATAACACATGAGATTTGATAACATACTTTCTCTTTCCTCAAATAATCAACACAATTTGATTTTTAACTTGTTGCATGGGCATAATTGAAACCCAGTTCAATGTGTCATCAATAGATTTTGTACCGAAATTTATTAAATTGTTTTCATCTCAATTGAAAGAAAAAAACCGTTTGTATCTTTTTAAAAACATTAAATTATACAGGAAAAATTAACTAGGCTTTGATGACTGTTTAACCCATTGTCGACCAGCGAATCAAAATCTATGAATTATGTTCCGTTCTTTTTCTCTTTTGAATTCACGTGTGTTTGTAAATGAGTCTAAATGTGATAATAAATTGTATGAGTATATTAGCATTAGATTTTTGTGATTAATTTAAACCGATGGTTAAATGGATATTATACCTTTAAGTCATTGACTGATGTGAAGGTAATTAAGCATGGAGAACATTTGAAGATTTTCTCGTGCTTGAGTTTTGCTTGATGGGATTGAATTTGACTAACAGTGCTGAACATTTTGTGACATGATCCGCACTGAATCAGCTTTTCCATGTGCGTCTGACGATGTCTGTATAGGATTGTACGCGACTTAAACTCTTTGTTACACACTTTACAAATTGGAATTTTTCCCGGTGTTTTCTACGCAGACACAAATAAAATGAAACCCAAAAAAATTAAATACCCCATTGAAAAGTTTGTGAACATTTTTAACAAAATGTACCTCATGAGTTTTCATATGCATTTTAAGCATTCCTGGTCCTTTAAAGCTTCGAAAGCAAATCTCACATTGTGGTTGCTTCTTACAGTTAGCCTGAGAAAATGTGACAAGTCACATATGATTATTTGACGTTTTTTTTGTTTTTACGTATGGCATAAAAAGCACTAAGCTACCTTGATCCAGTTTGAATGGGATTTCATATGAGTTTGTAGCCATTTACTATGCTTAAACTCCTTTCGACACAGATTGCACACAAAAAGCCCTGGATACGGACACGAAGTTTGGGCACTAACAAATTCGGCTGTATACGAATAAAAATGTAATTTGGATTAATATCAGTTGAGGTAGATGCCGCACCGCTTTGAAATAGATACGTAAGAAATGTTATTAAGAAGAAACATCCACCTAAATATTCTTTGTCTTCACACTCTGAACCTTCGGACAATTCGAGCGTGAATACACCGTCTTCCTCTTCTTCGAGCTCTTCTTCCTCATATTCTTCTTCGTCTTGTTCGATAATGGTGGCTTCGTCCAAACAAACGGTTGTGCTTTGTATTTGATCCGATTGTGATTGTTGTTCGACTTCTTCAACATGTTCGATTTCTTCCTGTTGCATTTGTGTTGTTACTGAGAATATCTCATCTGAAAATATGATTAACGATGAATTAGTTTGAAAAAAAACCAATCAAAATGAAAATAGAAAATCTAATTCGAACCATCTTCAGTATAATATGTTGTTGTATCAGTTTGAATTTCGGTGGGTTGTACAATAATTTCACATCGATCATCACTCGTTCGCTGAATTTGAACTACTTGCGCTGGTTGACCATTTTGTTGTATCATTTGCACTGTCCCATTACCTGGATGACAATCACATAAAGGTTTAGTTATTTCAAAATGAGTGCACACATTGCGCACTATATGAACGAAATACAGAGTACAAATAATCGAATGTCATACTCACTCGTTTGAACTAGTTGACAAATTTGGCCTTGAAGTTGTGCCGTGGCTAGAGCCGATTGAATTGGTGCGGTGGCAACAATTTGGCCAGCCGCATTAATGATTTGCGCATTATGCAATTGTCCATTGGTGATGATCATTTGCTGTGGTTGGTGTGTTGTTGTTACAATTTGTTGTGTTGTCGGCTGTTGTGTATGCGTTTGTGGTTGTTGTATCGTAACATTTGCATGTTGCACATGATTATGAATATCATTTTGTAGATCGTGTCGTGTTATATGGATTTCTTGTCGCGTTCCTGAATCTTTGATCACTTGATGCGTTTGCGCCGGATGGATTTCCATTTGTGTTAGTGGCTCTTCGACAATCACAGTGATACCTTTGATATACTGTCTCAGCTCCTTATCGGAATTTTCAACACGCTTTTTAAATGCATGACATCGGCTCACTTGATGCACACACTGAATACAAATCTTATCCGGCCAGCCGTCGGTGTTATCAAGCTGTATGAAAAGAATAAAAAATAAATAAAATTCTTTATTCAATTTCAAAGTTCAGAAGGTCAAAATAATTTTCCGACATTTACCTGTACTCGTGTGCATTCCATTAGCATTTCCGCAACCATTTCACCAAATAATGGTCGCATATCTTTTTTAACTGTCAAACAAACGCGACATATTTTATCAAGTTCGAGTGTTTTAACATCAACTTCCATTGTGTTCAATTGTTCACAATTTAATGAAATTTTATGGGATGATTTCACTCCGTTAAATGAATAATCAAATTTAATTGTTTACAAACTCAATCAATTACTTTCTAATTGCAAAGTATTTTCAACATGCATCAACACTTGAACATAGTCAACCACAAACAATACACACAAATTTATTATTTCTGTAAATTTTTAGCGATTTTTTCACTTGCATTCACGCTGAAAATGTTTTTATTCAATCGTTAACATATACAAGAATCGATTTTACATCAAACAATACTACGTTTTTCAATGGCTAATTTAATAATTCCATAGAAAATGATACGTAAACAAAAGAAGACACAATTTTTTTTCCCTCACAGTATTGATGTTTGGTCGCCATTACCAAAAAAATTAACATGGAGTATTTTTGACGCATGGTGCGCCACTGTCGATCTCTCATTACAAATCTATTGAATTGTCAACGAAATGACAAACAGCATTTTAATCTAAGTGCGATAACCACATGCAGATGGCATTGTATGTGCATATACAGACATTCTATTTCATTTTTCTTAATTTGAATTCATATTTTTAGTTTCTTCTCTGTTCTTTATTCCGCTTTATTCGCTTTGTACACCAAAATATGAAACACTCACACTCATTTTTTTTTATAAAAGAAAGATAATCACCATTATAATCGTGTATTTTATTGTCTCGATATTTGGGCAAAAATTCAAAATAATTAAATTGTAAATTATTTAGTCAAAGTTTTTCTCAAAATATTATTTTTCGTAATAATTTTGATTAAAATATAAAATGTTCATTTCCAGGTATGAGATTTAAAATGTAAAACACAAATGACGTTTTAATTTAGAAACCACAATCTTTAGAACAAAACCGTCAGTTTAGAATCTAGTTAAATTAGCAGTATATGTTTAGATAAATAGTGACTCACACTATAGCGTTTACATATATTCTCGAGTAAATGTCGTGAAAGAAGGAAGAATGAAATAAGAGCACAACATTTTAACAAAATCAGTTTTTGTATAAACATTTGATGATTTATAATCGCGAAAAAAATTAGCGGGAGATGGGTCAGCAAAATTCGAACTCAAAAATAAACAAAAATCGCGTTGATCTGAGTCAGATTACAACAATACAGGCCGAATCAAATGTAAATATCTAAAAATACGAAAACACTACTGTGGACACAGATGCTAATATTCAATACCACAGTGTTTCTGAAGAAAGTCGCAGAAACAATGATATGGATCTAAATCTTGCTACTCAATCTGCAAACATGATTGATGACACCAGTTCGACGGATGAAAGTGAGTCACTTGTTATTGGAAATGAAACAATTGAAATAGAGCCACAAATACCAAACATTGGATATGTTCAGGTAAACAATTCAAGTGATGTCACTTTTGGTAACAGAATCAACTATCATGGACCAGTTACCATTCATGTGACCAATCAAAATCAAAGTCAAGTAACCAATAATATTGCAAGGCAACATGTTGAAATTTTAAATCGACCAGGTAGGAATTACATTTAAATTCAAAGTGAAAAAAAAGAACACTAAAATATGTTCCAAATGAATTACAGTATTTACAACGGAAACGGCTGGACCATTGCGTATTGTTAAACGAAATGAATGGTTTGCATTACCACCGCAAAGAGAACTGGAACGCTTGGAGTTGCCCGCAATTCGAGTAATCATTGCATATACAATGGGAAAGTGTGCTACCACTCATGTAAGATCAACAAACACATCTAGTCAATAATTTTGTTATAGTTTTATTATTTTTCAAATTGTTTAGAGAGAGTGCTCCGAAATCGTTCGATCTTTCCAAGCCGATCATATTGAAATGAAAGGTTGGGATGATATTGGCTACAATTTCCTAATTGGTGGTGATGGTTCCGTTTATGTGGGTCGAGGATGGGATTACACAGGTGCGCACAGTCGCATTTATAATAAAAGAAGCATTTGTATTGCATTCATTGGTACTTTTCGTGAAAATGCGCCGCCCGAACGTTCTTTGATTGCAGCGCAGCAATTAATTGAAGTTGGTGTGAAATTGGGCAAAATTGATAAAAGTTATTATCTATACGGACATCGACAATTGATTCAAACAACAAGTCCTGGCAATAAAATCTACGAAATCATACAAACATGGAATAATTGGTCAGAGACTGTTATTCCACCCTAATCCCACCAAACGTTCACGATGGAAACTGAAGTTAATATACAATACAAATAAAACTACAATATAAAAGTTCTTTTTTTGTCTCATACCATGGACTCATTGGGTTCGTTTACTTTGTTAATTTATTGCTGAAAGGAACAATGTAATTAAATACAATAAAATAATTTTATTAACACGAAAATACAATATTGACGCAAAAAATCAATACACATGATAAAAATTGAAGGAAATTAAATGTCTTGTGATGTAATTATTTCCATTGAATAAATTAAAAAAATAAAATAATTTTTGTAGTTCAAATTAGATAATAAGTAAAATATTACGTTCTTGCGTTTAACGTGGCCAAAAATTCTCATTGAACATATACAATGTTTAAGTCACGAATTAGGTATGTTCCAGGTTTAATACATTATTCATTATATCGTGCGTTTATGTGATAAAAGCCTGATTTTTCGTATAATTTTTGTAAAGTTTAGACTTCTTTTTATGACCAATTTCGACCAATTTATTTCACTACAATAAATCTTCACAACCGAAACCAAAGTTTCCATTCAACAGTTAACATAAGAAAATCATAAATATCGTCCACAATACAAATAAACATGTTCTTTATGGGGCTCATTGGCTTCGTTTACTTTGTTAATTTATTGCTGGAAAATCACAGCGGACTGCAGTTCGCGCGAGTGACGAAACCACCTTAGTGTGTTGAAAAGTCGACTTGCTATATATACACGTAATTTCCAAATTCTAGCCTGGAAGGCCTTTAGCCGCGATTGGTGTATGGTTGGGAAGCCATTGGGCCATAGATCAAGAAAAAATATAAAAGTTCGAAAATCGGTCCACCTGTCTTCAAAATATGGTCCTTTCAAGAAAAGGGTCAAAATACAGTTTTATGGCCATAGATGGCACTAAATGAGGTCGACGACCCCTGAAACATCGATATTCGAATTCTAGAGCTCAATACCTTTCCAACGACCCCCTAACCGTCAAAATCGATCAATCTTTTCGAAAAATTCCGCATTTTGAAAATTTAATATGATTTTCCTATAAAAAATATTTGGTATATCTGTCTGTGCGCAATTTTGCGTAGTTGTTTTTGATCTTTTTGAAACATTCTGTGATTAAAGTACACAAAAAACTAAGACTTTTTTGTTCCGGCACTTTTCGATATGGCCGCCATGTTGGCCATGGCCGGCCTCTAAAAGTCACTTTTCGACTTTTTTCCCTGTGGTCACCGAAGCGCCATGACTTGACACCTCCCAGACATATGCATATCATTGGAAAGGTCTTGAAGTAAGCTATCGAATAAAGCCATTTGCGGTCCAAAAATTTCAATTTGGAGTGGCCAAATTGGCCAAAACCAAAAATTTACCGTTTGGCCGGACACATAATGGTCATTAGCTCGAAAACTAGCCTTTCATGGTCACTTAAAAATTTCACCGATTTTTAGGCCCAAGTCTAAGCTATAAAATGCCGCATAGCTTATATCCCTAAAAATTCTTGTCTTCACGATATGGCCTTTGATAGTGCGAATATGGCCAAAAATGACAAAAAATGTTACTTTTACCATTTGAAGTATTTTATGGGCCAACATGTACTCCAATGACTCTGTAGATATGCTCTGTGACTAGCCAAACAAAATTGAATAAAATATCGACCGTTTTGGATGGCTATTCCACCAAAAATCGGCCAAATGTACCAAAATTCGAATTTTCACAAAAATGTCTAGATGTATGAAATATCAAATAAAAAACCTCTATCAAGGTGAAGAACGAGTGACGAAAC